CACCCTTTTCTCCTCACAGCACTTACACGTATCTGATTTTTTTTTCCTCACTTACTTTGTTCGTGTGTTTCTGTCTATCCCTTGGATGAAAACCCTGGGAGAGCAGAGCAGGACCCTTGCTGTTTTGTCACTCAGGTCACTGACCTCAGTGTCTAGAATATCTCTTGTGCTGAATAGATGCACTCGGCCCTGGCTGGTTTGGCTCAGTGGTTGGAGCGTTGGCCTGCGGTCCAGAGAGACCCGGGTTCGGTTCCCGCTAAGGGCACGTACCTCAGTTGCAGTTTGTCCCCGGCCCAGGTTGGTTGTGTGGATGGCAGTCACCCGATGTGTCCCCATTTACTTCGATGTTTCTCTCTCTCTCTTCCTCTCTCTCCCTCCCACTCTATCGGAACAAAAAATAGAAAAATGTCCTCGGGTGAGGATAAAAAAATAAAAATAAATAAATAAGTGCACTCGGCATTTCACAAGAGCGTAATACTTGCACAGGGAGTGACACTGAACAATCAGTGACCAGGCTGAGATCTCCAAGCATTTAAAGAATACTCAAGATGGAGAAGAGCTGTCTCACTGTCAAATCCCTCATCTGGTTAAAGATGCAGAGACGTGGCAATGACGACAGGCAGCCAGAGCCAATGGTGAAGGAAGGCAAGGACACTTGCTTCAGTCCTTGAGGATTTCAGTTTCCTGAAAAAGTCTCAGAAAGCAAATCATTCTTCAGGGTCTATAAGATATGAGCGGTACAGAGCCTCTCAGTCAATTCTACTCCCTGTCCTCACTTTTAGTAACAAGTGAAGCTCAGGGGAAAGTCACAGAAAGAAACAAATGATAAGGGGAGAGTGACAGTTCTCTCTCGTTGGGGCTGTGGTCTCCTGCTTCGGAGACAAAGCTCAAACAATCATCTGGCAGTTCCCCAAACGGTCAAACACAGAGTCACCATATGACCCAGCAATTCCACTCTTGGGCATATATCGAAGAGAAATGAAAATGTATATACACACAAAAATGTGTCCACAAGCATCTACGGCAGCATTATTCATATAGCTAAAAAGTGGAAACAATCCAAACGTTTATCAACTGATGAGTGGATAAACAAGACGATACATGCATACAATGAATATTATGCAGCAATAAAAAGACAGGAGGTACTGACGCATGCTACAGTGCAGATGGCCCTCAAAAACAATAGCTATGCAGAAGTCATCAGTCACAACGGACCACGTATTATACATGATTCCATTTACAGAAAATGTCTCTCAAATAGGCAACTCTATGGAGACAGAAATTAGGTTGGTGGTTGTCTGGAGGTGGAGATTAGTGACCACTAATGGGTATAGGGCTTCTTTTAGGGGTAATTAAAATGCTCTGAAAGTAGACAGTGATGATGGTTGCCCAACTCTGTGAATGGTGTACTTTGTAAATAACTATTAAAGAATATACTTTAAACTGGTAAACTAAAATACTGGAAATATATCTCAATTTTTTAAAAAGCTGATACAATAACAAAATTCTTCTGTAGTTTGCAGAGAACAGGGAAATGCTGGAACCCTGGTATTTCTCTCATACACGGAGAAAAGCAGCCCAGCCCTATAATATCTGGGATGTGACCCCTGTCCCCTTTACTCTCCACACTAGCTTGCCTTGCTCCAAAAAGCTTGCCTTGCTCCAAAAAGCTTGCCTTGGGCTCCAATTTTATCTTCACTCATTCAGCAGACTTCTGCTGAGCACCTTCTGCATGCCAGGAACTCTGCTGGGCACAGGACCTGCAGATGAAGGGGGCAGGCTTTGCCTTCAAGGAGCTATCACTTTCATAATTATTCATTCAACCACAGGGCAGGAAACAGCAAAAGGAGAGTTCTGAGTAGTATTCTGTTGTGGGTTGTGGGTAGAAAAGAATTTTTCATGTCTGAAATCTAGAAGGGTGGACTCATGTCCACACCAAAATAGCACACACTGGTCTGGTATGCAAATATCTCAAAGGCGGGTGGGGCAGAGAGTGGAGGTGTGGTGGGCCCCAGGAGTCAGATCTGACAGGAAGCTGAAGGCACAAAAGCCCCAGGGCCAGGAAGCAGTGCCAGCACTACCCTTACATTCCATCTGGCAGTCCTGTGGGTGTTCCCAGTTTGTTTATTTTTTTAAAGGGAAAAGGAGATGGGGAGGAGGGAGAGAACACGAGTTATTACTCAGCATTTCCATCGTGTTTAACGTTTGCAAAGCACTCCTGTCCTCACTTGGTCCTGAACTGCCTGAAATAATAAAGGAATCTGAGAACCCAGCCAAGAACTCAAAGTACTTAGCAGATATAAGAACCTACCACTGCATCTGGCGAGGCAGGCACTATTTAAAAATTAATCCATTCCAATAAATACTATTTTAAAAATGAATCCAAAATAATAATCTCTGCAAAGCTGACATGCTAACTAGGTGATGACTGAATTCAGTAAAGTCATATTCTAAATCTGCCCATTCACACCTTGACACATGTCCTTTGAGATGACAGCATCCTATGGCTGCCACAGCAAATATTCATACCAAATAGGTTATGGCAGCAATTAACAAGAAAAATCCATTTCCTGCTGTCAGCAGACAGCACCTGGATCATCATATTGAAGATGCAGCATTGATAAAATACCCACTTTTTATGGCTGCCTACCAACAGCCAGCACTTCGAGCAAGCACACTGCTGTATGAGCTGCAATACACAAGGAGCACTGTGGCTGTGAACTCAAGCTCCGGAATGGATGGGAAATGGATGTATGTGTGTGCCTGTGTTTGTATTTATAGTCAACCAAGCTCGTGAATGTTTTAGCTTGTCCGGAAGACTGCTACTTTTAGGAATGTTCACTGGTCAATTTGGAGGCTACTTGGTAAAGCATAAACAGTATACACATTTAAAATTACCATGAATATGAATCTTATGAGGTCAAGGTACTTCCACAGCTATTTCAAAAAAATATGTTGGAGTCACATAAAAATGAAAAAAGAATTTTGAATTATATTTAAAAGGCATCGTCTGATTTATTTCAGATCAACTCTCCATTCTTTCCTCCCACACTCAGCAGGACAATTAGAAAATCTGAACAGGCACACATGCACACACATGCACATGCATGCACACATACAGTGAAGAGCTAACATGGCAAAGTGAACAATTACCATGTCAAGATCTGAACAAGACCAAAACTGAGAAAGATGAGGCCAGAACTTGAGGCTGCATTTTGTTTTGAACGTCTGCTGAATTAAGAAAAGGTTCCTGAGTGACCCAGCAGCACTTCTGATGGCTTTGTGGGGCCAGAAGGACAAATGCTGCAGCCCTGGGACTGCCAGTGAGTTGGCTATAATTTCATACAAAAGAGACTAAGGAAAAAAGGTTACTACAGACAAGGATAATGAACACAGGTTTAACAAACAGATAAGCTGGAATTGTTTAATGTTACAATACTAAAATTGTATGTACCTAAAAACAGGTCTGAGAATATACGAAGCAAAAAACTGACATCAGTGTAAATCGACACAAACTGCAATCATGGTGGAGGATTTAACACAGTGCTCTTAGTAACTGAAACCACAGAAAAAAGTTAGCATATAGCAAATTTGAAAAAGAAATGACAAATCAGAATCTAATTGTCATCTATAGAACTTTTGCAAGAATCTAATTGTCATCTATAGAACTTTGTACCCAGTGGTCTTAAAATATACATTATTTTCAAGCTTACAGGAAGAGTTACAGAAACTAAACATGTGCCTTTTATCTGTACAATGGAAAAATGTGTGTTCACAGAAAGTAGACAGAGCAAATTAATCTGGCCCTAACAATGAGGTATGTAACCTAGTAAGGTTTGAGAGGACTCTGGTTTCACTATGCAAAGGAGTCCTAAGAAGTAAGTAGGCTGTCCTTAGTGTCTTGGTGACTTAGAGCTGCATAACACTTGGAGTTGTGTGAAAGAGAAAAGGACAATGCAAAACCCTGGGTCTCTGCCTAAAACGAAAAGGAGGCCACGGTAACAGCAGTCTTCCATTCAGTCAGGCAGACATCAGCTTTTTCACGGCCAACCCCACTTCCTTTGCTCCCAGCTCCTTCCCATCTCCTTTTCCTGATCCTGCAACTTTCTGTCCCATCCTAGGAAGCTGCATTTGGATTTTAGATGACCATCTTTTCCATTTGACCATCACGAGCACTTACATGGGGGGCCAGACCCTGCAAATCCAGTGCTTGCTCTAACAAGGCTCACCCTATGACAAAAATCTGCCTGGTTTCCCACCACATTCTTCAGAGAATAAATGAGTCCTAAACATGGTTCTTTGCTTTAATCCTCAACTTCAGTGGCCTGGATACCTGTTTATTGTGCTCTGGTGGTTTGGGTTAGACGTGGTCCAGGAGTCCTGCTAGGATTTAGAGAGCTTGAGTGGGAGCTAGAAGTCTGGGGTGGGGTGGTTGCAGGCATGATCTGTGTTTTTTACACAACCCAGGAGCACCGAGTCCTGTCCTACAGCCCACTAACTGGTTAACTGAAACCACCTCCCTAGTCCAACCTAGTTGCAGGAAACACACTGACAAGGATGTCTGGATTGGCTGTAGTCCTGACCTAATTCTCTGCAAGAGTCTCAGCAACCCCAGTGAAGTCTCCCTCATTTCTTCCCCAGTCTGGCAGTGCTGAGTAGAAAGAGTCACTTAATCAGCCATGCTTCCTTGGAGCACTGCCCCCCACAACCCGGTGTCCTAGTGACTCTCCTAAGCTGGGTCCTTCTTCGACCCATGGCTGAGCCCAACATATTCATGTACTTGCATTCTGGTGACTGGGTGTGTTCGCACTCACGAATTCAGTTGGCTGTTTTGAAATCACCCTCAGTATGAAATCACATAACCTAAGAACTTCCTGGATTTTCACCAGCACCCTTCAGGAAGTGAAGCATGTTGACGTTGGCTCTAAGTGCCTTATTAATAAGTAACTTCCACTGTTTCTCCCTTTTGCCCTGTCTGGCAGAAGGCCATCCAGACTCACCCTCGTACATCTCCAGGATGTGGACCGAGTCTCCGATCTGCAGGGAGAGCTCCACATCTTGAGAGGCATTGTAGTTATAGATCGCTGGAAATGAGAAACAAAAGGGGATATGACATCAGAGGCAGTTAAAACACAAGTCACTCAAGAGCACATTCTACGTTAGTAAACTACCTGACCAACAAATCACCCTCTACTTAATGATTTCACGTGAGGCACCCACCGAAAAGCAGAGAACACGCTGATGGAGCCCCATTCTGGGATTCCTCCACTCAAGGCTGTGCCTACTGTGTACTGTGATACCACACACTGTGTTTAAGACCAGGGACAGAGTGACCAAACATACAGACATGGTCCCTGTCCCGGGGGATTTTATAGTCTTCTAGGGAAAGAAGGATATTAAATGTTATTACAGAAATAACCACTTAATTAAAATTATAAGAGATCTGAAAGCAAGAAAAAAAAATACAGGCTATGATGAGAACGTATAGTGGGGTTTTGCTGGTCAGTCCCCTTGTTCATCAGCCAGCCTATAATACCACTGAGCTATGATCTCTAGGGCATGGGATAAGCCACCGCCCAACTTCCTTGACAGTAACTGGTAGCGTGAGGGCCACCTGTGAGTACCTCTAATAACAGACTGTCACAGTATGCAATGAGGGGATGGCCACCTTGCTCCAGTTTTAGGCACCCTGGGGAACTGGGTTGTCCTAGCACTTCCTCATCAAGGTGACTTTAATCACCATGGTCCCTAGGACTGGCAGTGAGTAGGCTATACTATGACAACAGCAGACTAACTCTTACATCTCAGGAAAAAAAGACAACCCAGTTTCAGATGGGTAAAGCTCTGAAGGGACACTCGACCAAGGACATATATATGATGACCATGAGCACATGGAAAGATGTGCAACAGCATTAGCCACCAGGGAAATGCAAATCAGAACCACAGTTTTGGTTTGGCCAGTTTGGGTCTGCGGTTAGAGTGCTGGCCTGTGGACCAGAGAGCCCCGGGTTGTTTTCGCTAAGGGCATGTACCTCGGATGCAGTTTGTCCCCAACCCCGTTTGAGGTCATGTGGGTGGCAACCACCCAAAGTGTCTCTCTCACATCGATGATTCTCTCTCTCTCTTCCTCCCTCTCTGCCTCCCGCTCTATCTGAATATAAATGCAAAAATGTCCTTGGGTGAGGATTAAAAAAAAACCCACAGTGAGCTACCTCTTGCACCTGCTAGAATGGCTATAATTTTCAAAGGCTGACAATTGGTAAGAATGCAAAGAAACTGATACCCTCGTGTAGAAATGTAAAATGACATGGCCAGTTCAGAAAACAGTTTGGCAGTGTCTTTAAAAGTTAAACATAAACTGAGAGTACAACCCAGCAATTCCACTCCCAGTTACAAAGAGAAATGAAAACATGCCTATATAAAAACTGTGTATGACTACTCACGGCTGCTATGATGGGCAGAAATACAGCCTCTCAAAGATATCCCATCAAATTTTGGGAACCTGTGAATGTTACCCCCGGTATGGCAAAACAATTGAGTAAGTTAAGGTTCTTGAAAGGAGGAACTCTTTCTAGATTAATAGGGTGGGTCCTGATCGCAGTAACACGTAGCCCGAGAAGAGAAAGAAGGTGATGTGAAGATGGAGGCAGAGGGGGAAAGAACGTGACCTCAGTCGAGGACTAACAGCTCCCAGAAGCTGGAAGAGTTGGGAATGAACCTGTAGAAGTACAGCCTGTCAACTCCTTAACTTCAGATTTCTGGTCTCCAGAACCATGAGAATAAATTTCTATTGCTTTAAAACTACCTACATACGATTGTCTAACTACTATGCTGTACACCTGAAACCAATACAAAATAACACTGACAAAGTCTTTAGGGTTTTCCATATACAGAATCATGTCAGCTGCAAAAAGTGACACTTTTACTTCTTCCTTCCCAATTTGGATGCCTTTTATTTTTTTCTCTTGTCTGATTGCTCTAGCTAGGACTTCAGAACTATGTTGAATAAGAGTGCTGAGAGTGGGAATTCTTGGCTTGTTCCCGATTTATAGAAGCTTTCAGTTTTTCATTGAGTATAATATTGGCTGAGGGTTTGTCATATACGGCCTTAATTATGTTGAGGTACTTTCCTTCTACACCCATTTTATTGATTGTTTTAATCATAATGGATGTAGCTTATCAAGTGCTTTTTTCTTTTTTTTTATCCTCACCCAAGGACATTTTTCCATTTTTTGTTCAGATAGAGTGGGAGGGAGGGAGAGAGAGAGAGAGAGAGAGAGAGAGAGAGAGAGAGAGAGAGAAACATCGATGTGAAAGGGACACATCGAATGGCTGCCACCCACACGACCAACCAGGACCAGGGACTAACTGCAACCGAGGTACGCCCCCTTAGCAGGAACTGAACGCGGGTCTCTCTGGACGACAGGCCGACACTCTAACCGCTGAGCCAAATCAGCCAGGGCTCAAATGCTTTTTTCTAAACCTACTTATAAGATCATATTATTTTTATCCTTTGCTTTGTTAATGTGCTGTATTACACTGATTGATTTGCATATGTTGAAACATCCTTGTGCCTTTGGAAAGAAACCCACTTGATCATGATGTATTTTTTTAAAATATATTTTTAATATATTGTTGTAGTCAATTTCCTAGTATTTTGTTCAGGATTTTTGCATCTGTATTCATCAGAGATGCTAGTCTAGATTTCTTTTTAGTTGTTATTCCTGCCAGGTTTTGATATCAGGGTTATACCAATGTGTTATAAGTATTGTCTCTTCCATTTTTTGGAAGAGTTTGGAGGGATAGGTATCAAATCTTCTTTGAATGTTTGGTAGAATTCATTGGTGAAGCCATCTGGTCCTAGACTTTTATTTTTGGGGAGGTTTTTGACAGTTGTTTCAATTTCCTCACTGTTTGTCAGTCTATTTAGATTTTCCAATTCTTCACGATTCAGTCTAGGTTATATATTTATAGGAACTTATCTATTTCTTCTAGGTTATTGAATTTGGTGGCATATTTTCTTTCACTGTACTCTAGCATGACCCTTTGTATATCTAAGCTATCTATGGTAACTTCTCTTGCATTTCTGATTTTGTTCACATGAGACTTTTATCCTTAGTGAGTCTAGCCTGGGGTTTGTCGATTTTATTCATCTTTTCAAAGAACCAGCTCTTTGTTGTATTAGAAACAATAAACTATAAATACAAGTAAAGATGCAGGATACAAAGTCCATGTTTTCCTACACACTAACAATAAAACTTCAGAAGAAGAAATAAAATCCTTTGCAACTGCAATCAAAAGAATGAAATACCTAGGAATAAACTTAACAAAGGATGTGAAGGACCTATGTACTGAAAACTACAAAGTATTATTAAAAGAATTTGAAAAAGACATAATGAAATTGAAAGATATTCCGTGTTCATGGATTGGAAGAATCAATATAATTAAAAGTATTATTAAAAGAATTTGAAAAAGACATAATGAAATTGAAAGATATTCCGTGTTCATGGATTGGAAGAATCAATATAATTAAAATTGCCATATTACCCAAAGCAAAATACAGATTTAATGCAATTCCCATCAAAATACCAATGTCATTTTTTAAAGAAATAGAACCAAAAAAAATCATCAGATTTGTATGGAACCACAAAACTCCCCAAATAGCCAAGCACTCCTAACAAAAAAGAACAAAGACTGACTTCAAATTATACTACAGACTACAATAATCAAAACAGCATGGTAATGGCAGAAAAACAGACACACAAACCAATGGAACAGAATTGAGAGCCCAGAAATTAAACCACATGTATATGGGCAAATAATTTTTTTAAATCATCATCCAAGGATACTTTTTCCATTGATTTTTAGAGAGAGTGCAAGGAAGGGAGAAGAAGACAGGGAGAGAGAGAGAGACATTGATATGAGAAAGATACATCAATCGGTTGTCTCCCACACATGCCCCAACTGGGGCCAGGTACTATGTGCCCTTGACCGGGAATTGAACCCATAACCCTCTGGTGCACAGGTGGATGCTCTAAACACAGAGCCACAATGGTCAGGGCTATGGGCAAATAAGTTTTGACAAAGGAACCACAAACACACAATGGAGAAAACAAAGCCTCTTCAATAAATGGTGCTGGGAAAATTGGAAAGCCACATGCAAAAGAATGAAACCAGATTACACTTTGTCCCCATGTACAAAAATTAATTCAAAATGGATCAAAGACCTAAATATAAGATGTGAAACAATACATTACATAGAAGAAAACATAGGCACTAAACTTATGGATCTTGCTCATAGATCACATTTTATTAATTTGACCCCAAAGGCAAGGGAAGTAAAGGCAACAATAAATGAATGGAACTATATCATACTAAAAAGTTTCTGAATAATAAAAGAAACCAACAACAAAACGAAAAGGCAACCATCTGAATGAAAGACGATATTTGCAAACAACAGCTCCAACAAGGGGTTAACATCCAAAATATGTAGATAACTCACACAACTCAACACCAATCCAACAAACAATCCAATTAAAAAATGAGCAGATGCCCTGGCCGGTTTGGCTCAGCGGTTAGAATGTCTGCCTGCAGTCCAGAGAGACCTGGGTTCGGTCCCCGCTAAGGGCATGTACCTTGGTTGCAGTTTGTCCCCGGCCCTGGTTGGTTGTGCGGGTGGCAGCCACTCGATGTGTCATTTTCACGTCAATGTTTCTCTCTCTCTCTTCCCTCTCTCCCTCCAACTCTGTCTGAACAAAAAATGGACAAATGTCCTCGGGTGAGGATTTAAAAAAAAAAAAAGAGCAGAGTACCGGAACAAATACTTCTCCCAAGAAGACATACAGTCAACAAAGATATGAAAATATATTCAACTTCACTGGCTATTAGAGAAATGCAAATCAAAACTACAATGAGATAACATCTCACACCTGTTAAAATGGCTATTATCAACAAGACAAGTAATAACAAGCATTGGAGAGGCTGTGGAGGAAAGGAATACCTCATTCACTTCTGGTGGGAATGTAAACTGGTACAACCATTAGGGAAAACAGTATAGCAGTTCCTCAAAAAATTAAGAACAGAG